CTATGTAATTTAGGTTCTGTAACTAGAAAACAACCTGAAACTGAAAGAAAAATCTTCTTCTTATCGTCTATGTTTTTAAAGATGGTTTCTGTATCTCAAGGAGCTCCGGCGGTCTGTAAGTACCAAAAGAGTTTCACACGCCTTACGTACAGGCTTCCGAAATGACATAGATGATTACTCTGTTTTTTGCAGCATTTTCTTTTCTTTTCTTTTTTTTTAAAAAGATTTTATTATTTGTTTGACAGAGAGAGAGATCACAAGTAGGCAGAGAGGCAGGCAGAGAGAGAGGGAGGAAGCAGGCTCCCCGCCGAGCAGAGAGGCTGATGCGCGGCTCGATCATCCCAGGACCCTGGGATCATGACCCGAGCCGAAGGCAGAGGCTTAACCCACTGAGCCACCCAGGCACCCCTTTGGCAGCATTTTCAATCCTACCATTTACAAAGATTAAAAAAAAAAACAACAATGTATGAAACGTGTACTCCAGAAATACTAATCTGTAACTCAGCTTGCACTTGCATAATTCTCATTTGTGCCCATGTATTCTGCCGTAACTGTTATTTTGTTTGAAATACAGAAGTCAGGTGGTCTTGGTTTGGGATATTTTAAATTTCCCAACAACAAAGAATCTATAAGCCACTTAAGAATAGTAGTTGCTGAAAATTCTTAAAGATTTTATAACTAGTGAATAATGCTTGTTATGAATTGCTACTAAAGTTGGGTGCTTTTGCCTAGGATATCTAACATGGTTCTGCCCCAACTAGTTTAGAGAACTTTTGTGGGTCACATAGTTCTCATTATCCTTTCTCGTATTTTTTCACCATTCGTTTCTCTCTTTCTACCTCATACAGTTATCACTACTTGTAGTTCCAACACCAAAGTGCCCAGATCAGCAAGCAAAAGTGTTATTTTAATTTTATTTATTTATTTTTTCATGTATCTGGGGCAGTTCCAATCTAGGCCTTATGAGCTGATGAGACATGTTTTTTTTCAGTGTAGTTGGACAATGACCTGCAGTAGGTCTGAGAGGCAATGCAGAAGTTTCTATTTTTACCCAGTGACCCAAAAGATTTCTGGGCCCATTAAAGTTTGAGAAGTAATGCTCTCTCCCCACACACAAACTTTTGTGGAATATAGAAAAGGAACATATTAAGATCATCTTCACATTTTTTGAAAGACTAGTGAATTATTTAGAAGGGAAAGATCAAAGCCTATTTTTCTCAGTGATAAAATACTTGTACTGACACTACTACTGGTAAATTAACTTTCAAAGGAAGATTATGGCTTTGCTTTGGTATACCCATCAAACAGATCAGCATGTAATAATACAGCTATGTGATTCCTAGTGTCATGCCAATTCCTCTCCTCATGTTATATAAATATTATGCTAAATTAGTTTCTCCATTTAACAAAAGATTTGTTACAATAAACTGTTCAAATATAATCAAATATTACGGTTCAAACGAAAGGTTTAGTAGATGACGTTAAGACTAGGGTTTATATAATATATTATTATATTTACCATGTTTACTTTACTATATTCTAGATTCAGAACACCTTTTTTTTTGAGATTTATTTATTTATTTATTTGAGAGAGAGAGAGAGAGAGAGAGAGAGAGAGCAGGGGAGAAGCAGAGCGAGAGAGGGAGAGAGAATCTTCAAGTAGATTCCCCGCTAAGTATAGAGTCTGACATGGGACTCCACATGGGGTTCAACCCCACGACCCTACGATCATGACCTAAGCTGAAATCCAGAGTCGGCCCCTTAACCAACTGCCCACCCAGGTGTCCCTAGATTCAGAACATCTTGAGGAATGTGCTGCCTTTCTTCTAGTGCCTAGTACAGTAGAGACCGCAGAGGAGACAGTCATTTAGAAACGTCTGTTGAATGGATGAATAAGTGACTGGCTGCAAATGTATTGTATATGCATTCTAGAAAGTATGTATATGCATAAGACAAATCAATTCAGAAATTAAAAAAATATTTTACTGCATGTATCTATCAAAGAAAAATAATGAATATAAAAGAGTTATCTTTAAAAATCAATAGCAAATAGTCATCTTCAGACCTTAGATAGCAAAGTACACAGAAGAATTAAATAAGATTATACATTTTCATATAAGATAACCCAAGACATATTCCCATAATTACACAAAGTGGTTATTTCTAATACATCAGTCAGAAAGAGAAACTGACCTTCCAAGATGATAATGAACTAGTCAATGTTCAATGTGGTGGTTCTTTGTTAGTTGGGGAAAAAAATGTAGGTAAGGAATATAAGGTCAGAAAAACTTGAAAATGGGGAGAAAAGGGTTTTTTTTTAACTGTATTTATTGCACTAACCCTTTAAATCCAAAACCAATTATAAACATTGTGGTGCTTTCAATAATTGCCCGCTGAGTGTGTAAATTTAAAAATGGCAATTTCAACTTTTATTTCACCTAGACAAGGAAGAAAATGGAATTGAATACTAATTAGTGTATGTGTGTCATACACCTGAAAGATTAGGGGAATACTGTGCTCATTATAAGTGTTTAAGCAAAGCACTCAAATGTTTCATTTGAAGTACTGAATATAAACAAAAGAATTAAGTGACAAGGGAAATTAATAATGCTCAGACAGAAAATTGGGTACATGAGTAGACTTCCCAGAGCCTCTTAGATATGATTTTCCTTTAAGAAAAGGATACACTTTTTCTTTTAAACAAATAACTTAGAAAATAAGATGTTATGAAAGAATACAGTAATATAATATAATAACTTGAACATAATCTCAGAATACTTATTAAAATGACAATTGAGAGTTTTCAGTTCTCCCTCCATTATACACAAGACTTTTTCATTTAATATAAAAGCCTTTTTATTTACTTATATTCTTTTCTCTGAGAATTCATTATCATCTTCAGACTAAAAGCAAAATAATAGCAATAAAAAATAATGATAGACCCCCTTAAAAATAAAAGAGGTATTAAATTATTCTACTTAAAAAATAAATTATTCTACTTAAGTTTACAAAGTTATATTTAACCTAAATTTCTCTAAGAGTCAACCAGTGTCCTGTTCCACTGAGGCTATTTTTACCTATAACTATTGGGATAAAGGGAACTTAAAGTTAATTTGTACTTTGAAAGGCAGAATGATGTGCAAGTTAAGGAGGCAATAAACTGGGACAAAGTGAAAAGTCAGGACATGAAACATTAATAAGGTGTTTCTTAGAGAACATTTCGCAAAAGTATGTTATTTATGGTGTATTGAAACAAGGCAATGACTAAATCTTGCGAACATAATTTGCCAAACAGAAACCCCGATGCAAGCTTGCGACATCGTCTCAAGCCGTTCTGCAACTTCTGCTACGAATCTTAATTTCCAGAGTTTTATCATGATTGCCACCCCACAAATCACAACAGTCCACTATGGTGATTTAAAAAAATGGTCTCTGCAGTGATTTTTAACATTAAAAGATACGCATTTTTTGTTGTTCTGCAACTATTTTAAACCTTAATTTTATCTTCATTACTCTGGGATCGGAACTGTGTAGATATACCATGTCCACTATCTGGAATTCTCTTTGCACACAATGCCATAGATTTGAAAAATCAAGCGTAATTTAAGAAGCAATTTCTGCAAATGCATGCAAAAATAAATGCATAAAACAAAACGATATCAGGTAACCACTGGGAGCCATATAGATAAAAGAAATGTATATAGGCAGGATATGTAAAAATTCACAAGAAACCTGAATAAAAGAAGTATCTGAAGGAGACCTTAGCTCAGTTCCTAAGGTAAGGAAGTCATGATACTTGGCCGTAAATCAGTTTCTCATTCTATTAAAGTCCTGTAAGGCAATCCCTGAACATCGCACCTAATAACTTCAAATCATGGATTTCCACATTAAAAATTACCCCTGACTCAAAATATATCTTAAACAAAAATAGCTCAACTATTTAAATCAAAATTCTGTAACAGCTCCCTGGAATAATCCCCAAATATTTTAGTATGTATGAATCTTCATACATACTTAACTCACACACTTAATCAGAACATGTTCCTCTATACACAAGTCATGAATTTCCATATGATGTTCCCCAGATTCTCACCCGGTGCCTTTGATTGTGCTGTTCCATGGATTTTTTTTTCTCTATAGAAAGCCATTTTCCAAGGCCCACCTAAAATACTATTCTCCCTTAAGTTTTTTACATGATAATTATGTCTTCCATTAATCCCATCACACACTGGGTTTTCCTTCTCTTCAGCACACATCAATGACTTGTTAGATGTTACTAATGTGCTCTCCCCAACAGAGGTATAATCTTTCACAGAAATCATGGTTTAATCACCTTTTCTGTCCCCATAATATGTAGTTTACTATCTCACTTCAGCTAAGGCATCAAAAAGCGTTTAACTGGATTAAATAGAAGTTTCTGGTATTACTACCACCCAACCCATTTTAGGGAAATCACTTACTATCGTGGTTTATCATGGGTTTTTTTTTCCTGTTTTAAAAAAAAGCTGGCTGATGGTAATAAATGAAACAGCATAAACTGATACACTCTCAGCTACTGAAAGAAGGCGCTGATGGCATTTTAGGGATTCTCATAATCTATTGTATACTTTAAATGCTTTGCGCATGTGAAACCAATTCTGAGACAGAGAAAGAAAAGATGCAATTTTTACTTTCTTCAAGGGTCAGCAGTTGCTGTTAAATGTTAACACAGCACTAATGAACACATGGCATACGTAAAAAACCTCCTTCTTTGATATGTACCTTAAAACAGACATATTTGCAGTCCAAGAATTTCAACATTTTTAACCCTGTTAATGCACTTTTCAGTCAATGTACAGATATCCCACAGTTTCAGATTTTATACCCAATTTGGACTCAACTAAATCATCCCGCCCTCTGACCATGAAGAGAGAAGTCACACTTTGGGCTCTGACTTGTATTTTCTCTGAAATGATTCTGGTTATTCCTTGGCATTCACCTCGTCCCATCCCATGTGTTACCTGAATCCATGGCCATCTGTCATTTTCTGCAGCTGTCCATGCATTGATAAGCCCCTTCTTATTGAGACGTGCATAGTAGGGATACCACTTCTGGAGTCCAAAGAGAGCTCGGTGGGTAGAGGAAGCTGTGATTTGCTGATTTGATATGATTCCACCTTCAATTCCCAATGGGCCCGAACACTCTGGGAACAAATTAGGAAAAGATGTGAATATAGATCAGAAAAAATTCACTCTCAGAATGTGGCTATTAGATTTGATAGGAGATATTTTTAAAATAAATTTAATTTGTACCATTATGCCTTTTGAGTGCCACCTACCTTACAGATCTGTCATTGACCTCCACATGAAGAAAATAATTCTTTCTCCTCATGACACTCTTCTTCCTTTGCTTTGAGTGTGGCACCACAACAGATAACCGCCCATCTGCATTACGATTCTACATTACTCACTGTCATCCCTTGGCTGCTGAGCACATTAACGGAAGTATAATGCCCTTAAATGGCCTATCTCATATTTTATGCTTTCAGAAATTAGCATACCTCCTAAATTGTAAACCCTCAATAAATATCCTTGATCCAATAAATATCCTTGATCTTGACCGGCCTGCATCTGAGTTTTGTGTCAAAATCATTTTTATATTGACTTAGCATTTCTCATTACTATAATTTTTTTGACTTAAATTTTTATAAACATTATGTATGCTTCCAACAAAAAGAGAAAAGTGCAAGTCTGTCAACATTTGATAATAACATTTAATAATAATAACTTATAACATCTTATAATAGAAAACATGTAGACAAAATATATTTATAAAGTAAGCAGGTAAACTCCCTGACATTATACATAACTTATGTACACTAATAAGTAAATCAAGATATTAAAATATTTACATTTCTAATATTTTAAATTCAAAATTCACAACTATACGTATAGGTATTTTCACTAACATTTTAATTCTCTTTTTAAAATATTTCTTTATATTTGCAACTTAGAAACTGAATAAAAATTTCTTAATTAAATTTTTAAATTCTAACAGTAAGGCATAATACAATTCTAATATGTTCTCAGATATCAAATTTTATCAGATTTTAAAATTAAAAATGAAGGCAAATGCATATAAAAAGTAAGTATATTTTTACAGATATTTGAATTTCTTCTTTCATAAAATTTCACCACAAACTACATTTAAATTCAGTTTTGAAAATTCAGAATAAGTAATGTTATGACAAAATGAAAAGTAATACCTAGTTATCTTAATTTCAGTTATACATACAATATTCAACTTTTTGTCATATTCAATTTGTATAATATGATAATCTCATTATAAAATATGCTATACTAACTTACCAGAATTCCTAAAAATATTAAAGGAGCATAGCTGCCATTATGAATTGTCAGTATATATGTAAGTCAACTTGATCAGTGATTGTCACCAAGCATATTTTGGGTTTTAGTTAATATTGAAGCCCAACATTTGTCAGTAATTAAATGTTTACACTTAGATTGAGGATAGAAATATGAAAGAAAGAATTTTGCACTTGCATTATAACACTTTTAGAACTTACAAAGATGTTTCTCATTGGTAATCATTCTATCATTAACCGTAAACATGCTTCTCTTTTCTCTCCCATGTTCAGAGAATAAGTAGCTCTAAACACATTACCTACTAATATTTCTCCAAGGCTTTAAAATCTTGAAACACTTTTTTTTTTTTTTTTTAAAGATTTTATTTATTTATTTGACAGAGAGAGATCACAAGCAGGCAGAGAGGCAGGCAGAGAGAGAGGAGGAAGCAGGCTCCCTGCTCAGCAGGGAGC